TTGAAAGCTGAAACATCTGCAGACTCAGTGTTTGATTCTGAGTCAAATAAAGGGATCTTGACTGTTTGCCAAGATTTCAAAGAGACGGACTAGCGGCCCTTACATCTGAACGAAGGGATCATTTCAAGATTTTACAGAGACGGACCAACGACACGTATATCTGAATGAGGGGATTTAGGCCATTTTCATGTTCAACTTATCTGTTCCGTTTACATCTGAATTTGATGTTTTTCTTTGATTATTTAGCAATTTGAAGCTAAATATTTGCTTAATTAAGCTTAACTTGTAAAAAACCCCCAAAGCCAAAGAATAAGATAAATATGTATGTCCTTAATATACGATAATGATTTTCCCTTGATTATTTTTGTTGACGATCCTTCTTTTTCATGTGTTGCTTCCTTTGCTTCCACAATCCACAGTTATTGTACTAGATTAGTTCACCATAAAAAAAAAGTTACCGTGCTAAATTGCTAATTAAGCTTTTAAAAACAGATTAAAAATATGCAGAAACAAGAAAATATGAAGCTGAAAGACTTATCCGAAGACGCATGGAAAGGTGAAGGACTTGGAGTTGGATGTTGACCAGTTCCCAACCCAAGCTGGCGAGTGAATATGTTAGGGGACTCAGATATTTCACTTTCAATTGCCCAAAGTTTAGCTAAAAGATTGTGCAATTCCGGCACATATTTTCGTACTCTTGATTATTTTGTTACCATTTCAGGTAACAATTCCCTTGGTTGTTGCTTCCACTAAAATACAAACCATTCACTCCTGACAGCTTTGATTTTTATTTCTTTTCACTGTTGTCTTTTTGGAGTTTTGATTTTTTCAGTATGCTTCGATGTATTCTACATGCTAGACAGTTTAGTTGTTAAATTTTGAGTGTCCAATGACAAATGTTTAATATTGGCATGTTTAACATTGCTTCTGAAAGACTAAGAGTGATTTTTGGCAACTAAATTTCTTTATGATTGTGTTTGGTGGAGAGAAAAAAAAAATCATTTTTGGGTCGTAAAAGTGTTTTATGAAATGTGCTTTTTTAGAAAATACTTAATTTTAAATTGGGAGATGATTTTTACACAAGTTCTTTGACTTCTTATACACTTCTTTTTATTTTTTGCCCTCTTATTTAATAAAATAAATGAAAACAACAAATATTATAAAACAAGAGTGTGTGAGAAGTTAAAAAAAATGTATGTTTATCATTTCCCTTAATTCTGATTAGAGATTCCTAAATATTTTTAAATAAAAGCATTTCTAACAATAGCACTTACGAGAAGAAATGGTGCATTCCAACATGAGCTCGCTATGTAATTGTCTGAATAGCAGTTGTAATTAACACTTTTTTGAATTGGTCATCAAAATTATGCAGTCCACCATAATTAAAGAACCAATAAGATTTACAAATAAATACATAAAAATGTAGGCTTTTTATATTAGCACCCCACCAAATGTTGAATGCACCCCGCATTCAAATTTAAGATTAAATGACTTATTTACCCTACCATGTAATGGCAATTTTGACGTTATTAGGTTAAAAATAAAATTATATATACACCTCAAATCACTTTTAACGTATTATTTATCTTCTTCAACTATCAAAACCCCTCCGACCTCCATTGTTGAACAAAACCCCAACCAATGAAACTACAAACATGTTGATTGTTATTTTTGACGAATGAAACACGAAATCGATGTTTCGGAAGCTTCACATGAGGTCAGACTTCATATTTTTTGTTGTTTTAGTGATTTTGACGACATCGATAATTATTTAATCTTGATTTTGATGTGTTATTCAAGCTTCTATGTTCGTATTCATCTTTTAAGGATCACAGGGATTACATGAAGAATTAAACACTAAAATTACCACCAAATATTAAAACAGACAACATGTGTCACATCCTGGCCCAGGGTCCACCACATCCCGGGCCCGCTTCACCACCATAGCACGATATTGTCCTCTTTAGGCCCTGACCACGCTCTCACGGTTTTGTTTCTGGGAACTCACACGAGAACTTCCTAGGGATGACTGGGATCACACGAGAACTTCCTAGGAGGTCACCCATCATGGGAGTGCTCTCGCGTGTTACTCGCTTAACTTCGGAGTTCCAACGGAACCCGAAGCTAGTGAGCTCCCAAAAGGCCTCGTGCTAGGTAGAAATGGGAATATACATATAAGGATCACTCCCCTGGGTGATGTGGGATCTTACAATCCACCTCCCTTAGGGGCTCGACGTCCTCGTCGGCACACCAAGGCCAGGGTTAAGCTCTGATACCAAATTGTCACTTCCCCCCCCCAGGGTCCACCATATCCCATCTCGGGCCCGTTCCACCATCGTAGCATGATATTGTTCGCTTTGGGCCCCGTCCATGCCCTCACGGTTTTGTTTCTGGGAACTCACACGAGAACTTCCCAGGGGGTCACCCATCATGGGAGTACTCTCGCGCGCTACTTGCTTAACTTCGGAGTTCCCATGGAACCCGAAGCCAGTGAGCTCCCAAAATGTCTCGTGCTAGGTAGGGATGAGAATATACATATAAGGATCACTCCCCTAGGCGATGTAGGATGTCACAACATGGGTTTTAATGGTAGAATTGAAAAAAACTCACATATGCTTTAAATCCCAGGCAGCATCTTTTGTCAAAATTCCAGCCGGCATTTTTTGTCCAAATTAAAAGCTTTATAAGATTTAAGAAATTTGGGGTGTATAGAAAATGTGGGGTGCATGTAGAAAATGTAAGGTGTATATTAAGAATGTGGGGTGTGACAGTATTATGGAGAAGTATGTGGGATGTATTAAGTATGTGTGGTTTATTCAACAATTTGTGGGTGTTAATATAATAAGCCAAAAAGTATAAGATGTATTACCTTAACCCCAAGGATATTTTTGTTATTCTTTACTTGTAATTTTATTCCTTTTATTTTTGTTTTTAATATTTTAATTTTATAAACTTAAAGAAAAAACTGCTCACAACGTAGTTTTGTTCTGTTAGTTTGTATTTTTTTTAATTAAATAGTTTTATTTGAAAATTACGAAGGATATTTTTTAGATTATCAGTGATTTGCAAGTGGCACTTTACTACAATGGTGGAAAGGAGTTGAACCCTTGCATGATGCGTACGTTCGAACTTCGTCGGTAGCTAATCTAACATCTAATTTAACAAAATCTATCGTTTAACAAAAAAAACAAAGATTATGAATGATTTATCATTTGTGTCTTCTCTTTTTATATACAGGTTAAATTCAAAAGAAGAGGTTGTAATTATATAATCATGTTTACAGATATTTGGGGAGAGAGAGACAAGCAACATGGAAATCAAGGAACGGAGAAAAAGTTCCATAATTTTTGTTTTTCTATGTGATTAATGCATGAAAATACTCAACTAGTTTTTGTTTCTTTCACGATTTGATAGTGTCCATGAAAAATCCCAATGTCGTGTGTACTAACGTGAAATGAAATTGAAATTGTTAAGTTTTTTGGCTTTTTTATATTTATTAATATACGAATGTGTCAAATTCTAATTCTTAGCTTTCTCTTGTTTATTGACATGAGTTGGATTTATTCTAGTTCTTGACTTTTCTGCATTTGTTTACTCAACCATTGATCATACAATTATCCTATTATGTTTAAAAAAATGACGTGTTTATTGACATGAGTTTGGATTTATTCTCTCGTATTTAGTAACAAACGGAATAAAACATATTAAAATCCATTATCGAATAAAAAATAAGAATTATATTAACTAGGAGCTAGTTGATCTCATACTCATTGTCTTAATTATTTTTTATAGATTCACGACTTCCTCCGTTACAAGTAGTAAACAAGTCATTGAGAAGTCAAGTTATAGGAAAAAAATTTCTCGACTGTAGTCCCATAATAGTTGGGTAATGAATACTTTAGTGCAATAACAACTGAGTTCTTTTTCTCTAAAACCATACTTTAATATTTTATACTTATCTCTTTCTTGAAATCTTACAAGGAATGAATGCGAGAGGAAAATAATTATTCTAATTCATGAGTTTGCCATGGTTACCGGAGAGGAAATATAATTATTTTTATTCTTGACTTCCCCCACGCTTGGCAACGAACAAGGAATAAAAAATAAGAAAACTAATGAAAATGATTTGAAAACTTTGAGTTTTAACGATAAGGACAAAATAATGGGTAAAGTAAATAGTACTAGGATTGACTTTTTAAGGTAAAAATATGGTTTTTTTTTTTTTTGTTAAAGTTCCCAAAAAAAAAACGTGTTATGCGTTAAATCTTTAATCGAATACCTTTAAAATAAAATAAAAAAAATTTGGATCAACTAGAATGAGTAGTTGATTTTCTCCTCTTACTTCCCCTAATTTCCCCGATTACTAACATTTCCTATTCATGATATGGAAAAGTTTCCCCTTAAAGATATGTTTACTTGCAATGAATGAGGCGTATGGAAAGTCCGAATATCGCTCTCATTCATGACATATTTTGTGTTCACAAACGCACAAGAAATGTAAATAAGGGCTAATCAATTTGTTTTAGTTTTTAGTTTTGCTTTTTTGGTAAATATTGGAAATTGTAAATTCATTTGATAACTACTTTCAGTTTTCAGTTAAAAGAAAAGGCAAATACAGAAACTGAAAAACGAAATGATTATTAAACGACACCTAAATAGGAAAAATGGTTGTTTATCTCATACCTAAGCAACTATGTATCACTACCATATTGCCACATTGTTCTCCTAACTGAAAAAATTAGTAAACATGCCCAATGTAGAGGAAGACAATACATGAGTACTTGTAACTTGAAATATTTGCTCATTGGGCTTCAATTCATGCACCCGAAAGGGCATATGATAAAACCTCGTTGATTTTGATGGCCCATTGGGCTTCAACTGATGGCAACCACACTTTTAGCCACGGCATTCGGCCCAGCAAAAGATATTTTTCTGAGCGCGAAATCATAACCGTTAAAATCGTCGCTGAAAAATTAAGATAAAACAACACAAAAACATATGGTTGCAGGCCTTCTTCAACATTCACACTCTCTTTATAAAATGGAGTCTGAATTTGTATGTTTAAGAATTTGAAAAATGGCGATTGGTCTCTCACACCACCACCTTCTCTGCATATATTCCTCCAAACCCAACCCACCATTTTCAAAAACTCAAACACTTTTCAGAAACCCGAAATCCTCCTCCGTCGCTCTCCGGACCCTCCTGAAGTCGTCGTCTCCGAAAAACTCCAACACTTCGCTGCAAAGTTCGCCGGAAGAATCGAAGCCCGCCACCGCTTCTAAGCGGGCTGACCCGCCCGTCAAAAACCCACCTCCCAGATTGTCTTCTTTCGACTCCCTGTTCATCCGACTTCGTCGTTTAAGGTAGCTTGCAATCGTATTTTCTGTACCCAATTTCAAATTCCATTTCTGTTGTGGTTTTGTTGTAAATTTGTGATTTGAATATATGATTGCAGAGCTGAAAGGTTTAAGCTTGATGGAATATTTGTGGACATTTTGGCGATTGCATTGCCTGCTGCTCTGGCGCTGGCTGCTGACCCCATAACCTCTTTGGTTGACACAGCCTTTGTTGGGCATTTAGGTATCTACCTTGTTCTTTGATTATGCTAAATTAATAAATGTTTGATTTTTTGTTTGTTAATTGATACAGTTATGTGTGTATTTGATAAATAATACAAGAATCCCACTACACATGGTTCTACTCCTAATGACACCGAGGCCTTTGTGATAAAACTCCATACCTGCTGTGCTAGGAGGTGGTAAGATATTAGTAGTGGTCGTTCATCCATGTATCTGAAATCTTGACAGTTTCTGCATTGTTTAGGGTCGGTTGAATTGGCAGCAGTTGGGGTGTCAGCTTCAGTATTCAATCTAGTTTCTAAATTGTTTAACGTTCCATTGCTCAACATCACCACATCTTTTGTTGCTGAAGATCAGGCATTGGCTAGCAAGGCCCAGGATGGTAATTAGTAACTTTTTCTAGCAAGGCTTGTTACGTTTGAGGTTTTGGAATTAATTAATTGCTTTACTCAAAATGGTGTTGTGCAGATTTCCAGGGTGACAGCCAGGGCAAGAAGCTCCTTCCCTCGGTGTCCACTTCGTTGGCTCTTGCTGCCACCATTGGCATTGCTGAAGCTGTAGCACTTTTTCTTGGGTCGGGTGTCTTGATGAATGCCATGGGTATATATGCTGTATGTCAATCTTCACCAGTTATCAGTTTGTGTTGCATTGTACTACTTTATTCCGCAAATGCATCTTAGATTCTTAGTATAGTACTTGAGTTGAATTCAGTTTGTTTGATGTCTTTGTGCAGTTTCTTTCTTTCACATGATTTGGAGTTGAATTTCTTATTTATTTAGGTAGTTTTTACTGTCGCTTTTTCACTAGTATGTAGCAAACCTCTTTCTTCCTTCTCTGCGTCACTATAGACTTTATCACAGTATTCAAATGAATTTGAAAGGGGTACCAAGGTTTCAATGTTGGCTGATAAGGATGGAAGAAAAAGATGCATAAGGAGTAGGAAAATTTTCTCACTGTGGGATATGTAGCATCTATACATTTTGAAACTGACTGATGATGTTTCTGGATTTTTTATTTGAGGTTTGCTATTGTTATAGGATTCACCAATGCGAATACCTGCCGAGAATTTTCTTGCCCTAAGGGCATTGGGTGCTCCACCAATTGTAATTGCACTTGCCTCACAAGGCACTTTTCGTGGCTTTAAGGACACAAAGACACCTCTGTATGCCATTGGTATGTATTGTTTTGCATCTTTTTGAACTCAACTGTACTGTATTCCAACTGATAAAATGACAATGTCTGCTCTTTTATGTCAGTTGCTGGCAACTTACTTAATGCTATATTGGATGCAATTTTGATATTTGCTTTTGATTTTGGAATCCGCGGTGCTGCTATTGCTACAGTGATTTCTGAGTACGTCAATGATGTGGTAAACTTAATTATACTGGTGGATTTTGATCTTGATGTTCCTATCATAAAATTCTGTCAAATTTTCTTTCTAACAGAACTCTTCATGTCTATTTTTCACAAGGTACCTGATTGCTGCTATTCTTCTGTGGAAATTGAATAGCAAAGTATTACTTGTCCCTACCTATATTGATGGGAGAAGAATCGTCGGTTACCTTAAATCTGGTAGGTTCTTTGTGAACTTGTTTATAAAATATAGATGATAGAGATATTTGAGTTTATCTAAATATGTCCTTTGTATTTGTCAGGGGGTCTTCTTATTGGCAGAAGCTTAGCAGTCGTCGTAACTACGACACTAGCCACATCCATGGCAGCCCGGGAAGGTCCTATCCCCATGGCGGGCCATCAGATTTGCATTCAAGTTTGGTTGGCAGTATCTTTGCTTACTGATGCTTTAGCACTTGCTGGTCAGGTGTGACATTTTTTTACTTTACAAGTTTCATATGACATGTGAACAATTTACATAGAAGAATTTAACGAAATAAATTATGTGAACAAACTAGCTTTAGTTTAATCATTACAATGATGTGTCTTCACAGGCACTTCTTGCCAGTGGTTACTCCCAACAAGATTATGAACAAGCACGCCTAGTGATTTATAGGGTTCTACAGGTTCATATTTTTCTTTTCAACCTGTTTCATTCGCATCGTTAATTGATATCCTTTTTTTCCTCCACGTTGTTATGGTATTGATGTCATAGCTAACCCTGAATCTCCATTCACTGTTCTTTGAATTTCAAACAGATTGGTTTAGTGGCGGGAATTGGTTTGGGAATTATATTATTCATCAGTTTTAAAGCGTTTTCTAGCTTATTCAGCACAGACCCACAAGTCCTGGCAATTGCATGGTCTGGTTTATTGGTAGGAAACTACATATCTCAACAGTTTACTTGTTGGAAGTCTATGTACAATTACTTGTATCATGTGTACATTAGTTGCACTGCTACACATACCTGATATGGATTCTGTTTGTCAGTTTGTTGCTGGATCTCAGCCAATAAACGCTATAGCATTTGTTATCGACGGACTGTACTATGGAGTTTCAGACTTTGGATATGCTGCCTATTCAATGGTATTCCCAGTTCCGACCATGAACAACAGATTGGTTATAACACATCGTCTCCTCTCACCTCTCTTTCTGTTTGGGTAGGTATTAGTAGGGCTGATTTCTTCCACAGTCATACTTGTTGCTTCTCCGTCTTTTGGCCTTGCTGGAGTCTGGACGGGGCTGTTTCTCTTCATGGCATTGCGCGTAGTAGCCGGGATTTGGAGGTAAATTAATTTCTGTATGAGATCATGTCATCGCGCAACTTGAACTTCTTCCTGACAAATACTATTGCACTCCAGGTTGGGCACAAGAACCGGACCGTGGAAATTGGTCTGGGATGAGAGGAAGCAGGAAACTTAGGGTAACGAATGTTCAATCTCCTGGTAAAGGAGAAGAAAAATACTCATCAGGGGTTATCGAACACAAGTAACGTCTCCAAAGTCCGATGCTAATGGCGTAACCTGTTTTCGAACATAGGTTACGTCATGGTGTTCAAGGGCCTACCCGATTATTAAGACGACCTGGATCAACAAGAGAGAGTGACTTCGACTGGCTTCCGACTACTCGCTAGATATGTCGGGATGCAAATGCTGATCGGCGTTCCAAACCGAAGCTTTCTTCCCCTCGATACTTCACCAGGCTCTTGTAATATAGGGGGGTTTTGTATATAAATACTGTAGCTAAAAAATAGCTTAGATATACATTCTTACGGAAAAAAAAAGGAAGCGTTTGTGACAAATATCACTATTTTTAGTGGCAGTAACATATGATATTATAAAACGCCTACAAGTGTTTACAAAACGACATCAAAGGTTCTGAAATGGAAGGGAATATATAGATTTCATTATTTTTTGGGTTAAAGATGCAGCTAAAATATCCGATTTAATCCAAATAACAATCTCAATTAAGAGTAAGGGAACCATGAATCATTTAGGCGGCCCCTGATCTTCCATTTCACCAGAATCGTAACTCTGTCGAAATAAAACTGAATCGAAATCCACGCCTAAACGTGCGTACTCTGCGTGATTCGAGCTTCCAGGTATGTCGAGATGTGGTTGTGTCTGCAACTGAATAGGGAGATTATGCGTCCTCCCCCATTGTTGGTCCTCAGCAGCATCAATGCCATAGGTTTCCTCTGCAGGCCAGTTATGCACGTAGTCAAGTCTGTCATCGAGCTCTTTCTGGATTCCGATATCATTCCAAGGATTAATGCCATATATCGGACTGTATGCCACATCTAAATCATCTAAACAAGCATAACTATGTATGAAGCCATCGTGATTATGGCCATTTAATCTCGTCGTTTCTGCAAATCCTCCTGCAATTCTTGATCCGTCATCGATAACTTCATTTCAACATCCTCAGGAGGCTCAAAATTGGTTACAAGATTTTCGGCCGCGTTTATTTGCTCACCATGCATGTAGTTGTACTTCTCATCTAACCCATTGTGACTTCCGGATTCCAGAATCACCGGAAATGGTTTCTCCGCGGCTTCCCTCATTGCCGGTGTCTCAACTTTGACATCATTTGAAGGCTTGCAACTGTTTCTCCGATTGCATTCCCCATCTACAACCTCAGTTAAGTAATCATAATTGGACCTCAAAAGTATCTCCAAAGCATCCAAATCGTTACAAGGTTTCCGATCAAATACCGGATCAAAATTCACAACTGGGGGCTCATTAGGCAAGTAATCTCCCCAATGATCGAAGCTTCCATAGCTCCCGGTCTGAAAAACATCATCGTTCTTAACAAGCTCACGTTCAGTTTCGTATTCGCATTTCACAGCTTTTGGTTCTCTTGAGGTAGCACGTAAAACATGTAATTCCTCTGACACAGAACAATCCGTTTCCTGCTTTTGCTCTTTGGCTACACAATCCTCAAAGAAAGCTGATCTTCCCTCTGCCTCATCCGCATTATTGTACGTCAATGAGGACTCATGCGACGATGGTGTTTTAGATGACACAGAATTAGAGTAGTAGTCCTTCGAGTCCACAGCATTGTCGGGGAAGTTGAGCCGGGCCAAAGCACCATACATTGCTCTAGCAGCTTTGTCATAAGCAAGAGCAGCTTCATAGGCTGTAGGGAAAGTACCAAGCCAAAGACGCATATTCTTCTTCTTAGGTACAGAACCGGTTCTAGCTCGAATTGGTTCTCGAATTTCCGCCACCCATTTTCCCCAAGTCCTCTGCCTAACACCCCTAAATACACAATCTGAATTCTCCGGCCCTCCTTTTCCTCTCATGCACCCTTTTCTGGAGCCCTTCGCCGGAGCCCTCGAGTCTTCTTCCCTACATCTTTTCCAAAATCAAGCCTCTCATTGTAGTTCTTCCACTTGGACAGTGTGTCCTCTATCGAATCGCACCCGTTGCGCCTCTTCCGCAATTTCCTTTCCCTGAAACGTTAAACCATTTTCAAAGCTAGTTTCAGCCTTCAAACAATCAGCACGAACAAATTAATTTCTAGGCACCTCTCGTTTGGGGATTGGGATTGCTTTGATAGGAAGCATTTCTACTCGTAAGTGTGTCTGCTAAAAGTGCGTCCATTAGAAACATATTGCAGACTTTATTAAAAGTGCTTTTAAGAACTTTTGCTGCAAGTGCTTTTATTATAAACATATAAAACTTTTTATGAAAAACCCAAATGCTCTTTCAGGAAGCACTCCTGAATAACCATCGCACTTGTACACGAAGAAAGTTAGAATTCCATCGTAAAACTAATTGGTAATATGAAGAGTAGATGAAACTTCGTCATGGTATCAGAGTATATTGGGTCATGTGTGAGCTCAGCGACAACATGCTTCACGTCATCCTATTTGTGTTGTCCACATATTGGCTTGAAATGGTTTAAACATCCCCAATTGAGATTTTATCCTTCTCAAGGTTACTACATTTGTAGCTCTAATGAATTTCACAGTGAGCCGAAAATGAGGCTACATCTAGTTTCGAAAAGCAAGGACACACACTAAATTGAGGGGCCAGTCCTTTTTTTCTTTTTTTCCTTTTTTTTCTTTCTGTTTTTTAGTTTAGAGATGGGTGAGCTCTATTTTTAATTCCAAAACATGATTTTAAGAATTTATTGTTTAACCGTTTGTTTAATTAAGAAAACATAAATAAATTTTGTGTTATTGATTAATGAAAAAAAATATTGTGTTTTGTGTTCATTTTCGAGATTGAAAAGTTCATAAAAAAAAGTGATGAAATTTAACATTGGTAATTCAGAGACCTGAACGGAAAGCATAAATAAACAACATACTAAAATTGTAAAGAGATTACAATTCTGTTCTTAAATTGTAAACTGTAATTTTGTTATTTGAAAGCATAAACAATCAAATTCAAAAGTTGTTATGAAACGAAATCTTATCTTGTCTAATTTTATAAAAATAAATGAATAGATGATATTGAGATAAGAGAATTTAACCAACAGTGCATGAAGTGATAAAATCTAACGTCTTCAAAATTTGAATTTTTTAGGTTGAAAACTTCATAAGAAAAATGTAAGATAACACGTTCAAAAATTAACTTATAAGTTAAAACAAAAATAAATTTATCGGTATAATCAAATTTTTACATAAATAAATATATAACTCATATAGAGACCGAAAGATATATAGCTGCTTATTAAGAGATTTTTTTTAGAGCCATATCAGTGCTTTAAATTGAACTATATCCACCACTTTTTTCAGACTCGTATAAAGCAGTTCATTAGAGACGCTCTTGTAAGAGGTTGGCTACTCCTTGTATTATCAGTTGATTTATAACGGAACTCCAATTTTCTTCAACCGCGGTCATAATCGTTTTAAGCGATGCCAGGACCAAATACCAAGCAGGGAAAGACTTCCAAAATTTCCCAAAACTTCGATTTCTCCAAGGAAATGAATCACACGGAAAACCCCAGAAAAAAAAAACAAATAAAAACTAAAGAACTCACCCGCCCGAAGCCTCGGACTCCATGCAAGTCCAGAAATCTGCCTGCTTTCTTCTTCCTTTTTATCTGTGTCGGTTTCCGAACTCTTCCTTCAGATGTCGAATATGCAGAAATATATGACCTTTTCGACCTAATTAGTTGAAAATTCGGAAAGGGTTTATGTAGGGTTTAGGTGCGAACTGGCTTTTGCCCCTTCAGCAAGGTTTCGAGACGTTTTGGAGGAGCTGGGGTTTTCTCCGTTTTCGGCTAGTGGGTTTTATGGGAGCCGATAATAACAACTAAGCCATGGCGTCAGACTGACTTGGGGCCGAAGGTACTGAGAGATGGTCCCGAAAAGACATAATGTCAAGTTGATGACATGGACAGCTCACGGGTTGATTTGTAGGCCCTGCTTCTACACATAACAGTCGTACACGCAATTGACCTTTCGGTTTCTTACTCACGAAGTCTTTTTTTTTGCCTTTTCTGTTGCCTTTATAATGGTAGCTGCGGTTAGTGCTCTAATATGAAGCTAGTTTATTAGGCATTCAATTTAATGCAAAACCCTGTATTTGATTATGATTTCACTAGTACAAGCATGTACGACAGGGCTCGAAAAGACGTTTACAAGAAAGTGTTTTAAAATTATATAAGCATGTCTCAAAAGAACGTTTAAGAGATGAAGTGTTTTATCTATTAAAATAGTTTTAAACAAGGAGTGATTTTCATGTTTTTTCAATCTCTTACACATTCTTATTTAATCTTCACCGTTGAGTTTGTTGCAATTATTGAATCTGATGGTTACAAATTAACAAAAAAATAGGTAAAAATCAGTAAACTTAAACAAACACTTAAAACATGATACCATGAGTTCACATGTTATAATCAATAAACTTATCAGATAATGAATATAATAATTGAGAATACCAAGTAGGAGTGTCAGACCGCACCATGAAGTTTGCGGTGACGCACCAACAAAATTCGTCCAGGAGAAGAAACAGTTCAACTTTTCATCCAAAGATTGAAAGTTTGATTTGTTTTTGTCTTTTTCCGAAACCAAAGAAAAAATAATACATTTACAAGAGAAGTAATTTTCATATTTTTTCAACTGTTACATACTTGTGTTTAATTCTCATCGTTGATTCCTTTAAATTAATAATCTGACAACTATAAAATAAAAAAATGTGTAGAAATTACTATCGTTGTGTTATGAGTTGACATGTTATAATCAATAGAGTAATATTATGCATACTATGTTTTTGTACCACATTTTCATACCATCTTAGATGACATTTGATGTGCACAACCACATCATTTGAATTAATCAAAATTTTAAATTTAGTTCATTATTTAATAAACTAATAATTAAATAAAACTAGTTAATTAAATGATAATTATTGTATACGAGGAGTTTTTCTCCTTCATTTCTTTGGGTTTTGCAAATTTTTTAAATAATATGGCTGTCCACATCAGATGTCACCTAAGATGGTATAAATAACATCATGAAGTTTGTGGTGAAAGCACCAAGAAATAATAAATTTGGGAATACGAGGTAGGAGTTCTTGACTGTACCAAACCGCATCATGAAGTTTGCGGTGATTAGCACTAAGAAAGTTCCTCAAGGAAAAGAAAGAGTTGAACTTTTCATCCAAAGAAGAAATTTCAAAAGTTTGTTTATGTTTTTGTCTTTTTGCGAAACCAAAGAAAAAACAGTTTTTATTTTTTATTTTTATATAAATAATAGAGTAAGCTACAGTAAATGCATGAAATGCAAAGGCAAGGAAGATTCAAACGAAAAACCGGAGTGTAAAGGCAAATGCTCTTAATCAATCAAAC